ATCCATCATCTATCTATCTATCTATCTATCTATCTATCTATCTATCTATCTATCTATCTATCTATCTATCTATCTATCTATCTATCTATCTATCTATCCATCAGTCCATCCGTCCATCTAATATATTTAAACTAATTTACAGGAATGGAACCACCATTAATATGAATGAATGAATATGAACCTGAAATCAGCTGGAACCAGGAAATGTAAAGGATTTGTATCATTCAGATTTCAGTGACTTTAATGTAACAGAAATGTGCAAAATGAATGAGCAGTGAGTTCTTAATCTGCTGCTACATTTACTGTGAGGAGAACCTTTCTGGACTAAGATAACCAAGGAATGCCCTTTGGTGGCAGCAGCAGCTCAGTTCAGCTCATATGAGTTTACAAGCAGACTGAAGCTTGGCTGTCCAGAGGCAGCAGCAGGCCGCCGGCCTCCAGCCTGAGCTCAGCGTGCAGCAGCACTGGTCACGTTTCACTGTTGTCTATGGACTTCTGAACTGTCCTCGTGTCTGGTGTCTCAGTGGGTCTCTGGCAGTGTGTTCTGATGGAAACTATCAAAAAGGTATCCGTTAAGCTCCTCCCACCTTGTACCATGTGACCCGGGGCTGCGGGCGTCCCGTTGCTTTGGCCGTAAACTTCCCGCTCTGTCCCAGTTTGGCCAACACTCGGCTGGGTTTGGTGATGAACCTGGGAGGACTCTCGCTCCAAATGCCGGGCCGGTTCACCGCAGAGCGACACCTGGAACCGAGGAGATGGAGTTCTGTCACCACGGGTCCTCACAACGACGACAGAGATACAGAACCAGCAGCACAGATCAAACTGGAATGACTGGAAGGTCTGGTCATTACTGGTCAGTGTTTAGCTTCACTGCACTGGTTGTTCGTTAATGCAGACTCCTGCTGGTTGCAGCTGCAGGCTTCACACACAACCTGAACTAGAGCTTGTTGAACAGTAACAGTGCAGAACGCCGGCTGTCTCCTCATCAGTCATTGAACAGTTTTGGATCGTTATCAGTAAAATGATTCCAGCTTCTCAGACGTCCTCCATGTTCATTATCTGAATAGTTTAAAAGTAATTTCAATCATCTGCTGTCCTCTATTCCTTCAGAACCAGCGGCGTCGTGGACTTTGAGCCGTGATCGCCCTGTTCCTGCCCCGTCGCTGCAGCGCCCCCTGCTGTCTGGACCATTTCACATCAACCTGAACTAAAGTGTGAATCGGACAGATGCGGCTGTGAGTTCTCAGCAGTCTATTAGTTTAGCTGCTGGCCTGCAGAGGGAACAGCAGCACACACACAGCGTCTCTGCTGATGTGATTAAAGGCTGCAGCAGCTGGACGTGGTGCCTCCAGAGCAGCAGCGCTGGCGGGTGGAGGAACTCACCCCGGCTTCAGGGACTCACCCCGGCTTCAGGAACTCACCCCGGCTTCAGGAACTCACCCTGGCTTCAGGCAGAACGGCAGCACCGAGCTCCTCCCACAAGGCTCTGCAGGAGGAAGAACATCACAGCATCAGACTGGCTTCTTCAAGGGAAGTCACACTTCACTCAAACCGGACCGGAGCTGCAGGACTTTACATGTACACAACATGTACACAACATGTACACAACATGTACACAACATGTACACAACATGTACAGAACATGTACACAACATGTACACAACATGTACACAACATGTACACAACATATCAGCAACATGTACACAACATGTCAGCAACATGTACACAACATGTACACAACATATCAGAACATATCAGAACATATCAGAACATATCAGAACATGTGGCGGCTGAAGGAAAAGGAGAACCACCACCAGAGCAGTCAGAGTTTAATGACTCGGTCTGATCTGCTGAAATGCTTTGCGGAACCTTTGCGGAACTTTGCGGAACCTTTGCAGAACCTTTGCGGAACTTTGCGGTACCTTTGCGGTACCTTTGCGGAACCTTTGCGGTACCTGGCACTGGGTTTTACTTTCCTGCAGTACATCTTCCAGAATGGACTGGATCCTCACAGCAGCTGCTCTTATGGACCATGAACCTGACTGCGAGGAACGCAGAACAGATGAAGTCCTACTGTGGCCCGGTGAACCGACCCAGATCCTCCACATGTTAATAATACGCAGTACTCAGAAAGTCTGATTAAAGGGGTGAAAGTATTTGTTCTGCAGAACATCACTGGTCGAGCCGAATGTTCCTGAAGGTGCAGCATCGACCCGACTGCACCGCCTGAGCCCAAATAAACCCGGTTTGTCTTCTCTGTTCTGGATTAGCGTGAGTTTCTGGGACCTCAGCTGCTCTACAGAACATCACAGGAAAACAGATAAAATATCACTGAAACCAGCTGAAGCCGGACATGCAGAACTCTGATCCCTGATTTATAGAACCCACTGAGAACAGAGAACCGGTTCCTCTCTGCTGCTTCTCCAGATGAGAAACTTTAAGCAGCCGGTGGTCGGATTCCTCCAGGATTCAGGATCAGGGTTTGAGATGAATGATGTGTGAACAGAACCGTTTGTGAGGTTCTACATGAGGTTGTGCTGCAGCAGAAACCAGTGAGAGGTTCTGGATCTAGTGGTTCTGAGCTAGTCGAGTACATCTTAAGGCTTCACTGAAAGAAACACGAGTCGAAGAACAGACGCTAAGAACAGAGAGAGAACCGGGGGGA